GGAAAAGAAGCTAGGCTGAAGTTTCTATTCATTCCTGTTACCTTTTGGGTAACACCGCCCCATGAGAAACACGCACACAGAAAACAACAATAGAGTTAGCATCGTACGCTCTTTCATCTGCGGCAGATAACAGGCTCACGTTACTGTCTCTCACAGCACTGCCACTGCTCTGGATGCTCATTCAGCAGCACAATGATGCTTTGTCGTGTCACACAGACACGTCTGAATACACAATCACCTGACTGAACTGTGAAAGACGGCCGTAATTCAAGGCCACGTCAGTCAAACATATATAGCTGTTGTTCGCAATGGCTTCCATGTTATGATACCACTAACAGTTGACCGTGGAATATTTAGTAGTGAGAAAATTTCACGAATGGACTTATTGCACAGGTGGCAACCTATCATGGTACCACGCTTGAATTCACTGAGCTCCTGAGAGCGACCCATTCTTTCACAAATGTTTGAAGAAGTAGTCTGCATGCCTAGGTGCTTGATTTTATACACCTTTGGCCATGGAAGTGATTGGAAAACCTGAATTCAATGATTTGGAGGGGTGTCCCTATACTTTTGGCAATATAGTGTATATATATATATATATATATATATATATATATATACCCCTTTCTGTTAACAAAACGACAATAATAATAAATTATACATCAAATTAAACAGATAAACAGAAAATATACCTGCAAGCAACACATTTAGCATGAATTCAGCTGTCACTCAGAGCTTGCTATTTTAAGACCAAATGTTGGTTTGTAGTTATTAATAAACTTGTGCTGTGTTCAGAGGTCCGAAAGAAAGACGTGAGGCCGGACCGTCACAGGCATGTCTGAATACACAATTTAGCAAATTAGCCCAAAAGGGAAATGTATATAAATAATTACAATTATTTATACCAGGTGCCAGGAGCAGCTGTAGCAGAATTAATATTGCCATCAATTAATCTGTTCGTCCAGCGAAGCATGATACCAATAAGGTTACATTACCTTGGGGTTCAATCATAAAGCATGCATAAAACGGTATACAATACAAAAGACACTATACAAGACAGTAATAATCATACACACAATGTCCTGGAGATATGTATGTTCATTCATAGAAGGTTTTCTATGAATGAATGGGAAAAAGTCCCTTTTTATGGGCATTATGTGTCTTGAAATGGAGAGAGAGTTCCACATTCCTTTGAGCAATAAAATCAGTGTTATCAGATGATTTGTCATTGCTTGCCATGGTAACCAGGGGCCTGTTCTGTCGTGTTTGTTGCTCTTCGGGGGTTGTAATACAGGTTACAACTCTTAACACAGGGTTCCTCAAATCTTGCTCTGGAGGGCCAATGCGCTGCAGAGTTTAGCTCCAA